CTATTCAACTTCAGAACCATGTTCTCTTACGTAAGACAAACGCTGCCTATAGCAACGGCTCTCTCAACAAACCGATGCCATATTTTTTAAAAGAAATACTTATATCCATGAGAAGAAAACGATTTTTTGCCAGAAGATTCTCAAAAGGTACGATGAAATAAAATGTCTTTACTTTTTAATACCATAAGCTTAAATCATAATTTCTTAAATTTCTATTTGATATAATAATTTTGAATTAAAATATTATAGTTGGAAAAGATTTAATAAATTTCAATTGGAAATTAAAAAGACCTAACCATTATTTAATATTATAGTCACATTTTTTAAAACATTTTACATTAGTCAATTCGTAATATGGTGTTCAGTTTGTTTCAATTTTTGCTAAACTTACAGACTATTACTGTTAAATAATTTGCAATTCTTGCTATTTCTTAATGTAATGTAACATTTTTAAGTGAGTGCATTTTTTAAGAAAACGATTCAAAAAATGATGAGATTAATCTGATCGTTTTCTGATTTTCAATGACAAACTTTTGTTTTAGAATTAAGCATATCATGATAGAACAAATACTCTACAACAAAGTATTCAAATAATAATTTCAAAATTATTATTTGGTAACTAATTATACTCTAAGGGTTTGCAACTGGGTATTTGCAACTCGAGAAGAAGTGAAGTGATTATGCCTAACCATGTGATTTAAATCAAATTTATTTGCGTGCGTGAAAACGTGTGTGTCGAACCTGATTGGCTTCTGAATCGACAAATATTACGATTTACCTACGTTGTCACCACTGGCAGATATCCAGTTGTACACAGTTTGAAAACTAATTAATGAAAAATGTAAATATTTTTTTAAATACACTGCTTTACATTTAGTAATGAAATATTTTTAACCATCTATTTGTAGTTCTATTTGGTGTTTTTTAAACTTCTATTTGTAGTTAAATTATTTTTAATTATAGAAGACAAAATTTGGAATTAAAATGTGCTAAATATGCTCCTGCACCCCACAGCCCAAGGTCAAGAAAACTGAGATGAGCACAGTAGGCTTCGGCCTTCTATGGGCTGTCGCTCCACTGAGTTTGGTTTAGTTTACAAACAATTTCGAAAGCAAAGGATTGCATATTTCATATGAAAAACATCATTTTAGTACTCACTTAGATTCCAACATTATGAACGCATTTGTAATGTGTTCAACAGTATTACTTCCTAAAAATTCCTAATATTGCTCTTTTATTGCGCATATATATTACATACTTCATTATATCACTTATATTAGAAGGTGTTTCGTAATGATCACCCTTCAGATATATCTATATATTTTAATCCATGTCAAAACCGAAGCCAAATAATGCACACAGTAATAACGTAAACTAATATTTAAGTCAGGATAAAACAAACACGCTGTTGAAATGCATCGAATCAGTGAGAAAAACAAGATTGAAAAATTCAAAATCTATTTGATCTTAGAAAAAGCAGTGAAGAAATCAGAGGTGCTTGTTGAAAATACTTCATTTTCACAATCCAATCAGACTGACTTTGTTTTTCTTTCCTTTTTACTGTTTATTCCTCAGATTTTCGATAAAATTTTTCTTTCTTCATCATTTTAATGTTACTTTTCGACTCCCGATTTATGTACTTTTTTGAATTCATCACTAACAAGGATTCTGAAAATATTTATTGATGACGATCATTATAAAAATTGCTCCATACTAGAACCATACACTTGCTTATATTATAATTATTGCCTTTATACAATAATTAAAGAAGAAGCTTGTCTGTCGTATAACTCCCGAATATTGGTAATTATTTTTATTTTTAGTTCAATAGTAATGAAAATTTAACTTTCAGTATTAGCGGGTTAGTTCCATCAAAAATTCTTCGACGAAAGTAAATTACTCCCAATATTTGATCCCGGAGTTTCCTTTTCTTCCGAATTATTTTCAAAATTACAAGGCTTCGGAGATTACGGACATTAGTAGTCGTAAATTCAAAAATTGAGTCGGCTGTTCAACAACGATTGTAAAATAAAAATATAATAAAGTAGTTAAAGTAGAACTATGGTAAAACTTAGGGAATAGATCGTTCGCCTCCCAATGAAGTGAGATTGAATCCCAGAAATGGCTCATCGATACGGATTCCACACCCGGCTCACACCGACCACTGTACTGGCATAAAATATGCTCAGCGCTGGACGAATCATGGATTACAGTCCCCTTGCCATACGCTAACCGTGTGGGTTTTAGTGGTTTTCCTTTCCATGTAACGCAATTGCAGGTTAGTTTCATCAAGTAGTCAGCCGCGAAGGCAAACATTTCTCCCAATACTTGATCTAGAAGTTCCCTTGTCTTCTAGATCGGGTACAAAATTACAAGGTTGCGGAGTTGAACATTGGTTGTCGTAAATAAAAGTAAAAGATATATTTAAAAAGAGACTCCAACGCTACATTATCTGGCTTTAAAAAATTTGCAAAAATTAAGAACAGCTTATAGATTTTAATAATTTTCATCTAGGTGCTAAATTGGCGATTGGTGCATTTATCTCGCCAAATTGGCCACTTTTAAACAAGTTTGATAACTTTGAAAATATTTAAGTTATTTTTCTTTCTAAAGTTCAAATGATTCTTTATGATGAGATGGTGCATATAGTTAAAAATTATAGCTTATGTGACTGTTTCATTTTCTTTAGTGAAAGAGCTTCAAGAAATACTGTTAAAGTGATTTCGACACGAAAAAAAGAGCGAAGCTTGAGAGAAACTTTGCCTGATGTAGTTATTGACTTCGTTTTCTTTCTTTTTCGGGCAATATTAAAATCTTGACTTGAATGTCCAATTACGTTAGATTCAGAGACCTTATCAAAAATAAATTTGCAAATTGATGGCGAAAATATGTGACTTATCATTGCGTTCATTAGATCCTTCAATAAAAGTTTTACGGAATCATATTTGTTGTAATAATCAACTTTGACTTTCACTTAACCCTTTGACGTAAAATTTTTAGTAAACATATTTTTCAAACTTTTTCATTATTTTGTATTAATTTCGGTCAAAATAAGAGAAAAATATTGTATTTAGAATTTTAATAATTTATGGTTATAAAACACAGCGTGAAACACCGGTGTCTTTTTTGGGTGGTTTAAGGTAAAATTTTCTAAACAGGGCTACCTTTCAAGTAATAATTTCTCAAATATGCACTTATTTGCAGTTATTTAGATCTAAGAGAAACAGTTACTCATTATTGAAATTACTTTAATTGACAAAATCAACTATTGATAAATTTTTGAATATGAAAAAAAAATTCAAAATATTTTTTTTCAAATTAAAATATATTTCCAGTGCCAGAAAAAGGTAAATAAAAAAGGGTCACCGGTGTCTCATCTGCGTCAAAGGGTTAACACTCTACTCTTTTTAATTTTTAATTGTTGAAAAAAAAACATTAATATCTGCTCTATTTTTTAATATTTTTATTCAAATTTCAAATTTGAAGTTTTAGTAAGAATCAACTATGTTTTCTTTTCCGTAAGACAAATAAAATGAATAACAAAAAAATTAGTTTAATGCAAATTCTTAAATAAAGCAAAGAGTTATCAATTATTTAAAATTCAATTTCACAGAAACTATTCAATTTGCTCAAATTTTGTATTTTGCCATTTAAAAATTACATCCTTTGAAATGATATAAAAAATATTACACCTTGCAATTCAAAATGTTACGACTAATATTAAATAATAAAAAGCAATAAAAATTTATTAAACGATATATTTTGCATAAAATTATCTTTGGATAAACGAATTTTACAGATGTGCGCAAAATTTGATTAAAGAGTTCTCAAAAAATGCCAAATTCGCAAAAAATAAAATCTAATTAAGGGGTCCATACTTTGGACCGCTGTCCTGACCAAACTATGGGGACCATATATTTTCCAGATTGCTGCTACCCCCTATATTTTAGAGGTCAGAAATCCGAATCCACAAAAAGAAAAATTATGGTTTTTCAGAGAGAGTACTTTTTTGAGTCTGATTTCGTAACTTAAAACATCGTTTGCACTAATTAATTGGCATATTTGAGGTCCCCCTCTTTAACCTTTAAGATTGAATCCCAGAACGTGAAAATCCGATCATTAGATCAGAAGTTATTCTGGGTGGTCCGGTTTTTATTTTGAGCTCTGTACATATTATATTTAGAGCTTTTATAAATTTGAGGATATTCAAAAATTTAAACACTGATATTTTTAACTTTTATAAAGATTGTTCAAATATAGATTACTAATCATGATATAATCTGGTATCAAAATGCATTCGAATTCCAAGATGAAAATACTTTGAAATAATTAGAAAAACTTTGAACCGCAATTGTAACAATATTATAAAAATGCTTTGTGTGCAATATTGTATTTCCTTGCAATAGCAAAACATATCGTGTGTTTTTAGCTTTTTCACCGTAAAAAATTCTGGATCAAATTTTTATAAAATTACCGGCACTGGCAGTACTTTTACCGTAAAATTTTACTGATCAAAAAATCTGATATGCCGTAATCTTTGCAGTAATATTTATTGTGAAATCACTGAATCACTGTAATTAAATAAATATTACTATAAAAATTACGATTTAAAATTTCATAGTAAAATTTAATTTTACTATAAAGTGGATTTTACGAATTCTGCACTCAGGCTGCTAATACTTTTTACCATAATTTTATCCGGAATTTTTTACAGTGCATATTATAATTGAAAACAACAACTAAAGAAAAAATGGTGAAAAGACAGCCGTTTCGGTACTAAAAACTGATACCATCAATAGTGCCGAAAATATTGTCGTTGCTTATAGCTTTACCAACAGCTATCTTTTCAAAGGATTTTTTTTCTACGTTATTTCTATCTTTCTTATCAACCCAAAGATCAACACACCCACACAAAGATGATCCCACTTTCTTTGAAATCTTTCATTGCTTATTAAGTTTGTATGTCGATTTAATTACACATAAATAAATTTGCCATGAAATTATTATAAAGTAAAAATTTATTTACAACTTCATTTTGGTTACAAAAATAAAATTTTAAAGAAGCTGCCTCAGAGAAAATTCTCTAAGCCATTTCCAACTCAAGTCATTCATCCTCAGTAAATTCCTAAAATTTCACAGCTTATGCGGAAACAAACAAATAGACATTCATTGGCAACTTTTTTTAAAAAAGTAACTTTTAATTTAATGTATCTATTAAAACATAAAATGCATGAAATTTTAAGCTGTAAGTAAAGTACAGTTGATTTGAATACGGTTTAAGTCCCGAAAGCAAACCTAGTTAAATTTTGCAAAACTGATTCACGGTGCTTATAAACATAAGATTGCCAATTGGAATATTGTTTGTGTTGCTGAAACATTGACAGAAGGAAAAACTGTAATGCTACGGAAATTGAAGAAAAAAAATAGTAGCATGATGCAGATCGAGTCGTATTGCATTAATATGACTCAGTATTGCATGAGAAATAGAACAATGAAATGACAGATGATTCCAGCTAAATGAGGTGCACTAGAAAAATAGTCTTTTTTTTTCAATCTCAATTATTTTCATTCGGAAGGTGTTCTCGTAAAAAAACAACGAATGTCTTCAGATTTGTAAATCAATCAATAATTCAATTGATCTAAGCATCTTCCTCACTTGGTGTTACACGCCGTCTGTTGCCGCTGCTTACTCCTTGAAGGGATCTCTCATCATCTTCTGGAGCAGGGGTAGGTTCACTAATCAAAAAGAAGTTTTTATGTAGTTTTAAATGATTTATAAAATAGAAGGGAATGTAACATCCTAACATTTATATAGAAATTTTTAAAATTATAAAAAGCACAATTCAAGAGAGATTCCTATAATTGTTATAATGATATAAAGTCATCGTTGTATATTGTTAACTAGTAAAAATACTTCTCTTTTATTTCGTCTTAATTATGACTCGCATTCTATTTTTATCTTGAATTATTTTCAATTGCTTTTAATTATTTCTTTAATTCCGGTAATAATTCCTTTCGTTTCGATTATTAACAAAATGCTCAACGTAAAATTATAGAAATTATGATTTTTTTTTTAATAAAATGATATTTGCTTCTGTGAAAAATATCGATGTTTAAGTAAATAGCAATAATAAATACGAAGGAATCGTGAAGGTTGGTGAACAAAGCGTATAGGTTGAAGCCTCCAACTCCTTTTAAAAGTGCTAAATGCTAATTTTATTTGAAGCCTTAAAAACGAAACAAAAATGTTTTAAATGCTTATTTTAATGCTTATTTATATGACATTTTATTATTTTTTTAAAAAATGCAAATTTATTTGGTACTTTTCAGTTATCTGGGTGCAAGCGGAAAATCTCTAAAAAATACAGATGTCCATAAAAAAAATTTTATTTTATTTATTTATTAAATAAATAAAAATTAAATATAATAAAATAAATTAAATTTTAAAAAAATAAGGGAAATAGTTTAATTTCCTTGCACTTGGCAAACCGAAAGGTACCTTTTTTTTACATTAAACGTTCTAAAATATTCTCTTCCTTAACAACAGACATTTAAAAACAATGTTTAGGGAAATTCAGCTAAGTTATAATCTTTAAAAATTTAAAAACATTTTCTCTAACAAAAGAATCTTGTTGAAAGACAATTTATAGTCAACAGTATTTCGGTTCGGTCAGACAACAGTATTTCGATAAGAAATACTTCTCAGTCGGTTTAAATTTACTTTAAATTAATGATAGCATTATAATATTTACCATCCGGCAACATTGTTGGCCCATTCACATCTTCCTGCATCTGCAGTGAAGGCAAGTCCGGCAGGACATCTCTGTAGCCTGGGATATCCACCCATGCAATGCCAATATCGGGCACATGAACCATCAATCGGCTTCACACCATTTGGAGTGCCTTTGCACAAAGCTATGAGATAAAATCAGAAGCAAAATTAGCTTGAAACAAAGCATTAGTGATTCGCAGAACAAAAAAGTTGATTGGTTCGTCATTCCATAGTTGGACAAATTGATTGTATAGAATTACGTTAAACTCTATTAATTTAGGGAAATTCGTTTGATATGTTTGATAAAAAAGTGGTGTTGATACTGTTTAACTTAAAGCAGTTAATCTCCTGAAGAGTTTGTATTCGTTAGATAAAAAATCCCTTTTTGTAGACGTTTTTATTGGCTGGTAAATCACATGGTAGAACCCAATTTCCCCCCCCCCCCAATGACTTGGGGGAGATATTTGGTTGTCATTAGGAAAAAAATAAAAAAAGTCGTTAAGACAATGTCTTCCTATAAAATATTTTAGCATCCCAAAAAGTATTTACCTGCAATATTTATTTTTCTTATTCTACTATGCTTTTATTAAGTTTTTGATTTTGATGGGGAAATATCCTAGAATACGTTACACACCTGGCGCGATTTTAAAAAAAATATCACAAACGCTTGTCGCCAAACTGTTACCAAAGCCAAATTAAGCCATCTTTAAGTTCTCGAATTTACGAATATCAAGCTCAACCGCAAAATTAAACCAAGAGTTCCCAATTGCAATAGAGAAACGACTAAAAAGTAATAACCCATCGAATTTTGTCAAATCTATAACTGCAAATTGGAAACTTTATCGCTCTCCCAAATATTGCTAAGGTCGCCAGATCCATTTTGTAACGTATACTAGGATTAAGCCTTTAATTATTTTGCAAATTTAGAGTTTAGAACTAAAAGAGTTATTATAGCATTATTCTATTGATTTTACCTTATTACACTACACTCTAAGATAAACTTTTTTAAATCAGTGTCTAATAATTAATAATTGTCTTATTAATGCTTTGCTATTTGTATTATTTTCGTATGTAAAATTACATGAACATGCTATTATGAATTACCGTTAAAAAGATTTTAAGAGAAGTTTTCGTTTAATTATTTAGAACTTCGTGCACAATGTGATTCGTGCACAATGTGATGACGCATGCAATAATCTTATTATATAAAACGCTAATACGTACGTATGTATGTATCAATAAAACCGATGATATTTCTTTTCTCGCGCTGGCAACAGTTTTCATTTTTAATTGATTGGATTCGGCGCACAAGAGCACGTAGTGAGCAACCAGATAACAATAACCAGAGTGAGCATTGGTTGTTCAATTCAGATTCATGCATTTAAAACATGACAATATTTAATTTAAACTCAATTAGGAATTAATTAATTAATTGAATGAAGTGAGAATGCTTTAAAAGGCCGCTGTTGAATTGATATTTTTCTACTGGGAGCTACCTAAACGTCTAAAAAACGTTTAAGTGTTTGTATTGAATGCATTGAATTTTTTTTTCGCGTTTTTAGTGAGCTGCATTGAATTTTCAC